TGCCAAAAGATGAAATGACTAGCGATGAACAAAGCATATAATTGGTGTTAATGTGCTCCTGCAGCTAAATCAGAGGGGGCATTGCAACACAGCTTTTGAGCTCTCCTGTTCCGGCTGTCAACTAGCCCTGAAAAAGTACAGCTTGGAAATCATTCTGGATATCCTCTGGTTTGACATAAACATTCAGAAGAAGTGTTACTACATAAAGGGTGTTCCCATGCTCACTTGTCTTTCCTGTGATTCTCCTTTGTGAAACAATCTTTCTTGACTTCCATTCTTTTCTTGTTTGTAGGTGGGAGACCTTCGTGTCTCGTTCTTCTATGCAGGTCTAAGTGGAGATGATCCCCATTTGGGCTCTGCTGATAAGGTGAATCTTCAGCTGTTTTTGTGTTTTGTAAACTCTGTTCCCAACTCAGTAACGAGTAAATACTTTTCCCTTTGTTCCAAGGTGACTGTGATTGCTCGCCAGCGAGGTGATCAGCTGGTTCCATATCACACCAAGTCTGGAGACGTCCTGGAGATCCTGTACCCTGGGGATCTCTCTGTGGAGGTGAGATACTACACTGTACTAGTGAAGGGTTAAAACTGGAGATGGTAGTGCAGAAGCAGCAGAGGAGCAAGCTCTCATTCTTCTTCAGGCCTGCTCTAATGGAGCAGATACTCAATGTAAACATTGGCTTTTCTCCCTCCTTTTTCTAGAACAACATGCTGTAGCCTGTCTTTGCCTTCCAGGTTCCTGCACATTCTGTGTGTTGCAGAAAATACCAAGCTTTGGCCAGTAACAGTCCATAATTTGGCTATAATAATTCCTGGGTTTTTTTTTTAATCCTCTTGTGATGCTTTTGAACATCCTTTGCTTTAAAGACTGTTTCTGCATCTTCTCATTTTGCTTTTATTTGCTCCTTCGTAGTTTCCTGCTTATACATTCATGCACGTGCTTTTGAAAAGGTGTCGTATAACAATAGTAAAAATCGGGCTTTAATTAAATAAACCATAGGAGGTATTCTCTCTTCAGCTCCTAATAACAGGACTTCAGGCTTGTTTGAAGTGTTTATTGCAATTGTGGCTGAGAAAGAACCTTCAGGCAGAGCATTATGCTCCAGTAAATCCTGCATGCTCCAGCAATTTGGTGGTTCATTTACTCCTTTTAGTAGGTTTGTTTCCATTAATGATTGTATCATGCCTTGCTGCAAAAAAAACCCCAGATGTCAAGAGTTTACAGGAGCTCCCAAAAACAGTTAAAAGGGCTTTTGTTTTGACTTGAAAGTAGCACTAGAATCCCCTCTCTGCTGTGAGCTTTGAATCTTCATTAGAAAGAATTCTAGTTTGTTGAAAATTAACTCACTACAAGTGAATAATTTGTAGAGTAGTTGTATGTACAAGTAATCAGTCAGTCATACACTGATTTAGTGCTTTATTATGTCCCAGCCGTCTTCATGTGAACATTTTCTAGAGCCAGAAGGTCATACAGCCCATTTTGAAAAAAATCTTAGAAGTCTTGCAGATAGATGCTTTGCTTTGCCTGATGAAATGCAGAAATACCTTTTATCTTTTCTTCCCTTCCTCCTGCTTGCTCTCTTTCACACACCTTTCCTTCAGCCATCAGTGGATAGTATTGCCTTTTCTGTCTTCCTCTGAGCACAGTGAAGTCAGATCCTTCTGTCTTCAGTACAGTCACTTATTAGTATCTTGTTTTCCACCGTAATGTTGAATGTATCCGACTGCAGCAAAACCTGTGTGCTCTCTGCCTGTGGTTAGTGTCAAATGGTGCTTGTTAGGCTCTTAATTCAGGAAAAAATTCAGTTTCCCTCGTGCTGCACTGTGCAATCTATTGCAGTGCACTGCCACACTGCACAAACAAAACCCTGTGGAATGAGCTGCAATGTACTTTCCACAAGAGAAATTGTACTCCTAAAATGCTGTTGGCTCTGATTTGCTCATAATATACTGGAATTAAGAGGATCTGGAAAGAAATTGAGGAACAGGCTTCATGTCATGATGTTTGCTTTCAGGAGGTGTTTCAGAAGGAGCATCAGAGTAACACCATGAAGACCTGGGCCCTCCGTGCAGCAGGCTGGCTCTCAATGTTTGTAGGCATCAGCCTAATGACTCGAATCTTTTACACATTAGGTAAGATTTTTTACAGAAAGGTAAAATGATCTACAAATAGGATTGTAACCTCTAGAGAGTCTTCTTTTGCTCCCATATGCAGTTAATTAGTTTGGAGACCAGAAGGAATCTGGTTTGAACTCAGATTTGATTTGATCTGAAAGTCACTGTAGGCAACTGCGGGTAAACAGGATCCCAAAACCATCTGGTTGCTTTGTGAACACTAAAAATATCCCATGCAAATATCTGTTGCCAGTCTCAGAAGATCCAAGTGCAGTGCTTACCAAAATCAGAAGCCAAAGCACATGTTGGGCTGGTTTTTTCAAAAGGTGCTGCAAGACAATGACTTTCTGCACCCACATACAGCTGGTCCCCCCCAACAGGTCCTAGTCAGTAGTTGTATGGAAATATGTCTTCGTGTCTGGTTATTCTACGCCATTGTAAACAACAGCAAAGAAAGTTTTTGTTTATCTTTTTAACCTATAAAAATGCTGGAATAAAAACAGAAAAGCAGGACGATGCCTCAAACTTGTATAAACTTCAGACATCAAAGCTATCATTTGCTTTGTAGCTGGCAACTTTTTTTTCTGATCTGTTTATCCATATACATGCTGCTGCAAGATCTACTGTTACCTGAAATTAATTTTCGTGCTAGCATCTTGTATCAGTTGCCCTAGACTTGTTCCATGGCTACAAGGCTATTCATCTCCTCTGCCTCTCAAGCCTTGGACAAGTCTTCAGACTTCATTTTGGATTATCTCCTGTCTGAAGAGATCACGATAGCCTTGCCTTATATATTTAGCTGCTGCTTAATTATCAAGTGCCTTGAGGATGCCTGGAATGCCTTACCCAGTGCTCATGATAAATAGCTCGAGTCTGTCTTTTGATTGCATTAGTTAGTGTGCAGGTCCTAGGCACAAACGAGACTTTCTTTTAAACTGTCATCCTGTCAGCTGCTTTATCCCATGTTTAATTCTCTCTGCAGTGGACTGGTTTCCTGTTGTGAGGGATCTGGTTAACATTGGATTAAAAGCGTTTGCCTTCTGCGTGGCCACTTCGCTGTCACTCCTGACCATCTCCGTGGGGTGGCTCTTCTACCGCCCCCTCTGGGCTCTGCTCATCGCGCTGCTCGCCGTGGTTCCCGTCGTGGTGGCGAGATCTCGTGTTCCACCCAAGAAGCAGCAGTGAGAAGGAGGTGGTCGGGTCTTGAGCTGAATCCTAGTTAGAAACTTCTCAAGTGCATTTCTGTCCTGGCTCTTGCACTGTGCTTCCAGCAAATCACAGCTCAGCAGCGAGCACCAAGAGCTGGGGAGGGGGCTTGAACGGGACTGTTGATACACGTTATCCATGGGACTATAGGATGGTGTTTGTAGGAAGTCAGTGACATCAACTTGGGGGAAAAAAGCAGTTTGGAGTGTCTGTGTTGATGATAAGTTAGTGAACAAGCAGCTTTGTGCCTCTTACTGCTTAGTAATTCCCCTGATTTGAGAACTGGCAAGTCCTCACTGACAGGTGTGGGTGTGTTTTGGAGAAGGTGCCAGCTGGATCCTATGGACCATGGTTAGGTATCCTTAGGAAATACGTGTGTCTACCTGTCCCTGAAAACCCTCCCTCTGCTGCCTTTTCTAGTAGCACAGTCAGGTACATTCCTTTGGCTGATGCATTTGGCAGTGTGTGTGTTTAAAGGGAAAGTTGCTTAGGCAAATTCCACCCAATACTCATGTAAACCATGTGCTTCTGGACTGAGGATTTTCAAAGTAACTCAGTATAATGACTGGCCAGGTTAGCAGTGCTCTGAGGTCGGGCGAATTTATTAAGAGGCATTGATTTCCCCCAACCTTTTAAAAGTCTCTGAAGTTGTTCTTGATTAAGCATCCAAAATGATAGCCCAGACTATACCATTGCATAAGTATTTCAAAAATTTAACTTCAAATCGCACTTAAGGGGATGCTCTGAGGTCACTAACCTGTAAATAAACAACCTGCTGCCTTGAAACAACATCAGCTTTTATAATTGAATATATAGTCTTTAAAATATTTGGGGTTTTTTTGCTGTGTATACTGTTTCTTTTGAATTTCACTTAGTAAGGACAATGAACATACTCCATGAAATTAAATAATGGAAATGTTTTGCCTAACTAGTTTTCATAGATTTTAGTAGCCTAAATTAAGAGCTTTGTATCATGTTAGAGGAATGCCTTCTTGTAGTGTTGTGATGGCTCATGTTTACATATTTCTGTTGTAACCAGTACTCAAGACTGGAGACACTCTTGTACTGTTTAAAGTCTCTCCACCAGGATGGAGTCTGGCTTCCAGATGGGCCCTCCTGCACTACAGTGTTTCAGGGGTTTCTCTAAGTATATACAATTCTGTACAAAAATAATGTCTTCATTTATGAAATCTATTTATGACCATCAGAAGAGTGTTCTCTGTACCAAAAGAACTTGACTTGAACATACATAAAAGCAAATATTTGCTAGAAATGGTACTGACAGAGAAATGAGTTACAAATCATAAATGTTTTGAGAAGTCGTAATTACTTTATTAGTCTTGATTACTTTAATTCTTTTGGTATTTCAGTTCAGTCTCGTGTCTCAGTTCTGCCGGTAAAAGCAGGAGCAGTGTGTGAAAGGACAGGGAGGGGATGTGGCCTCATGCATGCAGCTGGCCCGTGTTAGCGGTACTGCAGCGTCTTCCTGCTGCTCACCAACACCAACTTGTGCTCCACCAGTTAGGAACTGCGCTCCACTGGGGAGAGAAATGGGTTGGAATGCTGCTGTTTTGCCCATGATGCAGGACGCTAGCCAGCATTACCAAATTAGAGATGAAGATACAATTTTCTACAGAAGTGCTGAGCTTTTGTATATTTAATAAAATACGGTTTTCAAAAGGTTGGTCTGTAGGATTCTTTTTTATTAAATGTAAGTATTGTACATTTTATGTCCAGGAATAGTGTCCAGGTTCGTGCGGATTAGTTTGCAGCTTCCACATGAACTAGTTTTCTGTTGTTGGTTGAGATAAATGCACAGGTGTGTTTTGTTTGTCCTGCAAATACTTCCCCATTTTGGGAAGCAAGTTGCTAATGACAGCACAGCTGCTCTCTGGTTTGTGTACTGCTGGTGCCAGTCTGCCATGGTTTTACTCACCGTTACTGACTACTGAAATCAGTCACCTCCTTGCCTCTGCAAGATTATTTGAAAAATATGATGGTTCAACCTGACTGCAACAGCCTATTGTATTTCTAAAGAGACTGAGGGGTTACCTGTCCCTTCAGCAGTGTAAAGTACTTTTGTCTTGCATCCCAGCATGTGCACCAGAATAATACACAGTAAATTAAGATTCCTTTCACAGACAAGAACTTCACATTCCACATGACAGGTGCTCTGGTGAAGCCAAGACTCACTTTCACTGCACGTACATAAACAGTGTTTCTATAGGAACAGCCTGAAGCACATTTACTCTTTCATCTTTCCCATGCTTAGGCTGGGAGCACCAGCTGTCCACATGGCTGCTAAGCAGGATCCTGCCATCTGAAAATGTTCTTGTCTCTTTTCCAGCTGATATAAGTAATTCCTAGACTCACAGCTTTGTGTATCCCTGCTGTGTCCCAAGTGAGGCAGCACAGAGTTGCTTTGGTACAGCTGATACCAGCTCCTGATTTAAGCTGATGAACAGCTACCAATACCAGCAGAAGCTGGACATGGGCCCCACACTGAGCACACTCATCTCAGGGTGTATCCTGTGTCCACACTAACTCAGAAGGAAATACACCCTCTGGGCCCACTGCAGTATTACCTGTTCCTGCAAGATACAGACTTCTTGAAGCTTTATGTACACGTCAGATCTACTCCCCAAGCCTCCAGCTTAGGTTGGTCTTTATTTATTTGGAATTTGGTAGCAAAAACTGAACACTGAGAATGAAGACCCTTAACATGAGAACAATTCACAAGCAGCTGGTTCTGGGCTATCCTGGGACCCAGGATATTACAGTTCTTAACCACGGTCCTTCCAGGGAAACAGCTGCTTACAGAACAGCAAGCTGGCCAGAGGGGAGGTGTAACAGACAACAGATTCTTTTTTTCAAACTTTAATTTGATCTACAAATACAGTACAAAAATAGATTTTTTTTTTCTGAACATAATTACATGTAAGCCATTTTCTGGCATTTCAATCTTTTCTATGTGACAATGTCCAGCAATGACTAAACTGTTTTCCTCTCTACTTTTGCAGAGACAGTATCAGTGGAATTTAGATATATAATACTGCAAAAGACAGATCAGTATTTCTACTACAAAGTGCAGGAAAAGCTTGTGTAGATTTTACATTCCTCTCTCAACAGTTTTTTAATGCTATGGTACTGAATAACAAGAATTCTATGGTTTCAGTGAATTTTGTTTCTGACAGTGACATTCAGCCAGTTTTACATGTTTTGCTTCAGAACAGGATCTTGGTAAGAAACAGAAGCAAATATGTATATATTCAAATTACTTAAGAAGGCATACTGAATCTTAAGTTTGAAATGAGGACAGGGCTTTTACCTTCCAAAGCACAAGATTTCTGAACATAAAGGAAGACAGTAGACTGAAAAGCCAAATCCAAGTTCCCAAAATACAACTATTCTTTACAAAGTAAATTTTGATTCCTCCAATTCCTGATTGGCTATTTCTTTTGACCTTAGAGGAAGTATATCTCCTTCTGTGATTATGAGACAGAAAGGCAAGAACTCTCACCATGGATTTGGATAAGCTATGGATCAAAGCAGGTATCAGCAGTCCTTTGGACAGCTCTCCACAGACAGTTAAAGAGCAGCTGGATGCTTTAATTCTGAGCAAGCAGGGAAAAATGAAAAGGAGTAAAAATGGGAAAAGAGGGTGCTAATGAAAGAAGTACTTCTGGAAACTGAATAATAGGAGCTGAGCAATACAAAGGAGAAGAAAACCCTTCAAGCCGCAAAGTGATCTTCTCAGAAGGTGTAACTGCATGTCTGCTGCTCCTAAGCCTAAGGATAAAAGGAAGAATCTAATTACCTCTATCAAAGGAAACTGGATACTGAGTGAGGGTGGTCCCTGACAGCTCAGAAACACAAGTGCCCAGGAAGACTAAGTCCCTAACTGGCAAAGGATACTTTTACTGTGACTAATGTTCTTGCATCTGGAAATAGCAAGGAAAAAGCTTGCTCTAATCACAATTTCTCAAAAGGGAACAACTGTGCTTCTTCACCTTTCCTTTCTCGCTTGCTCTTTCTGGTCTTTTTCTCTTCTTCTTTTTTCTCTAACTGGCGATTTTGGGGCCAAGAAATAGCCACATTCCCCACTGCGCTCTCTGAGCTCGGAGCTCCTTCTTCATCAGAAGAGAATCCCGCCCCTTTCTCTGTCTCAGGTGCTGATGGCTCAGTCTAGAAAAAACAGGCATGAAAACGTTAAGTTGTTCTAGGAAACACTCATAACCTCCCCCTTCTAAAAGGGCTTGTCATCTGTCCCAGTGACACTGAGTGACCTTACTGAAGTTGGTTGTTCCGGTTTGGGGCTATTTCTGGACATCAAACATTCCTTCAACACAACCAAAATGTTTTTAATGATGGATAAATAAAACCAAACCTGCTAGAAAAAGATCAGGCTTTTCACTTTTCTCACTGGGGAGAAGATTAAGAACTAAAATACCTGACTTCATAACAAAAAAGTATCCCAATCTCATCCCATTAGCTACATGCTTGGCTTGGAGGAATAAATCTAGGAAGGGGGTATGTCAAAATACAATACCAAAAAATGATGCTTTGGGAAGCAATAATCTCTTGTTAAACAATAATGAATCTTTGATGGACATGACTACATCGAATTTCTGGTGTAGTTTTTTTGACTAGGTGCTAGTCACATGCTACCAGTGGGAAAGACAAAGATTTTTGAGCAACTATACTCTGGAAATTCTAGTCTACAGTTGGAAACATAACATATTGGAAAGACTGGAAAAACATCTATTGGTAGAAAGATAACATCCTGAAAAAGAAATCACTAACAGAAATGCAGAATACCTTGATGGAGTAGCGTTTCTTCAGTTTCTCTCTGATGAGAAGTCCTTTTGTCAGCAGCTTCCAGTTTCCCAGAGCTCTCTTCTCACGCTTCTGTGGGGGATTGTTGTTGAAAAGAAAAAAATTTACTATTATGAGTTTTGATGTATTTGTGCCCACAGAAGACCAAAGTCTGAAGATTTTTTTTTAAACTGCCAACAAAAAAAACCAACACCAACTTAAATGTGTCACAGAAAAAGATTACAGGCAAATAGATTCTTAAATGTAAAATGTATTTGTGTCCAATTACCTGCTAAATACACAAATTACAGTCACTTTCTAATGTACACACTGATTGTGCAAATTACACCAGAACTACCTCCAAAACTTTATTCTTACCTGTGTATTCCTCATTTTTGTTTCCCAGCAGACATGGAAAACTATTCCAGAGTATGCAGATATTGCTACACACTTGTACTGTATCCCACTGCCGTCTGGACAGCAAGTCCAACCTGGGGCTCTCGGGGGATGCACCAAGCCCCTCACAGTCACTGCGCTCTGTGTTTGTCGCTTACACAGCCCACCCTGTTTGATTGTCCACAGTTTCAATGAAATTCACTTAATACAAGTAACAATAAGGAAGCTGCAAAAATAACTCTCACCTCCTTCTCCTTCTTTTCTATTTCTGCTTGTTCATTCTCCCAGGCAGCAATGAGAACATCTTTGTACTCCTCACACACCACGTAGCCATCGGTACTAGGAAGGAGAACACAATCCTCTGTCAGCTACGAGAAGAAAGAAACGGGACAAATACCTGCTGACCCAGCCAACCCAAAGCTACTGAACACTGACAGAACTGCCTGTCTCAAAAGATCTAAGTGTGTAACTGGTCACATGCACTCTTTAACACGGGGTATACAGCTTCTGCAGGACATCAACATCTGGCAGCTGCAACAAAGCAGCTTCACGTACACTGGGTGTGAGTAGCCGCCATGAAAATCAAATCCAGTGATGGCTTGAACACAGTCAATGTTCAGCTTTCGTGCCACTCTGTTCAGGTTTGGAAGTTTCAGCTGCACACAGCCAACGGGTAACATGGATGGCAGGAAGAGATAGACATTTCCGTACTCATTCCGAGGAACCTGTTATTGCAAAATTAAAGACAGATGGTGATATTCCTGCTTTTTGAAGGGAGGTGAAAATCCCTGGTGCAACTCAGGGGCCCTCCCTTCCTTCTGATCTCCTGCATTCCACTCTAGTATTCAATTAATATGCACATGATAAAGCATAAGCCTAGATTTTAGCTGCATGGTTATCTCCTAGCTATGTCCTCTGCCCAGGTCTTGTTACTCAGGCTGTAATGCAGAGAATTAGCAAAGCAAATATGGTCTAAGAAAATCAGATCAACAAAATTACAACTCCAGCAGTGCACTGCCAGCACTCACTACCTGTACTCAGGAGAGAAAGGTCTCTAAAGTTTTGCCCATTTTCTCCTGAGTGCAGTTAGCTGAGAACTCTTAATCCTGAATCCAGACGTTACTGACTGATCTCACATCTGAAATATGCAACTTCTGGAAAAATAAAGTCCAGAGTTCCATACAAAACACTTCTTTTAACACCAGCCCTCTGCATTCCCAGCTACCTTCCCATCCACTGCTATAGGAGGCTGATACTCCTCTGTCTGCCAGTGGCCGAACAGCGCCAGGTCCTCTCGGTCCCGGTTTGCCGGCTCCATGAGGCGCGCCTTCCTCGCCTGGTTGGAAAATCCCTTCACCATCTGCAAATACAACGACCAAGCCTGTAACACCACCTAACAACAAGCTGACAGTGATTTCAGATTTTCCTAGGACATCAAAGGAGGAGGTTCTGAAAGAGCAGAAATGCTATTTCCTAGATTCAGTATCCACTGCCTATAAATGATAGCCCACGGCACCTTGTACGTGCACATCAGCAGTGCACATAAAACACTAGGATGTCTTTGAAGATGAAAAGGGAGCAGTTCTGCCAGATACCCTCAGGGTGGGAAGAAGAGAAAGCTAGGCTTTGGGTAGTATGTAGGAACTACAGGCACAGGAGATGGACAGATTCACAGTGCAGCTACCAAAAGCCAGGCAAGCAAGTGAGAAATCTGCTGACAAAGAGAAAACAAAAACCAAAAGAGAACTGAGCCTGAGCTTCAGGGGGCAGGTGTATTGCACAGGAGGAAGTCAAACCCTCTTACCTTGTAAGGCACTTCTCCAATCCTCACCACCCGAGCTTTCTTCAGCCAAGTGTCCCTGGAGTGCAGAGTGTGTACACAGTCTCTAGGAAGGCCAGAAAGAAGCAAACATAAGAATAGTGAAGTGATCTATAAGAGATCTTCCAAAATCTCAGGAGTAGTAGAAAAACTGTATCTAAGTGATAGGCAAATGCTGTCTGAGCAGCGAAATGCCTCACCTGTCTGTGCATGTGGACCAAGACTACTGCTGATACCATCATGCAAATTAGCTCTTCAATTTATCACAAATGTCACAGACACAGGTGACAACACATGCACAACTCACCTGGAGTAGACAGCCTCTCCCCTGCAGTACCCCAGGATAGCAGCTGACTCAGGATAGATCGCCTGGTATTTCAAGAGGTGCCTCTTCAGTGCATAGAGAGGGTGGTTTTTGTACTCTCCAATTGCTGTTGGTAGAGGCTGATCTTGAAGCTTAACTTGAAACTGTAGGAATCATACAAAGGAGAGTGATTTCCCAACTCTATTGAACTACTATGACTATAGTACGGACCAAAGGAAAAAAAAACCACCAGAAACTTAATCAGATGAGCCAACAAACCAAAGCATTCTTGTTGCCAATAGGTACGAAGATATGTGTACTCAGATCTTTGTATTTCAACGACTCTGAGCAGGGTAATGCTAAACTGTACAGAACTACATTGTTATGTTTCCAGCATCAGATGTGCAGTACTTTTACTAAGCAAATTTCTCTGAACAGAGTCTAATCAATATTATTTTAATCTACCATTGTATATCCCCCTTAAAACATCCTCCATCTCAACATTTCAAGCTCAAATACAAACCTTCCTCAGGGAAAGATTCCTAATGATTTTTCCCTGCATGAGAATCCAAGGACTGAACTCCTGGCACTAAATGTTCTGAACAACCTGTTGCCATTTACCTCAGTTTCTTCCTTTCTGTCCCTTTCCACATTGGGACTTTCATAGGGCTGCAGTGTCTCTTCCCACCACTCAGGGTCCACACGGATCTTCCTTGTTGCAGTCATCCACACTGGATCATACCTCTGTGTCACATCCCTGACGCTCCCATCATTGTCAAACCCCACAACGTAGAAAAGGGGCTTTGTGGCATGTGTGAAGCACAGCTGGGGCTGGCCAACGTTGCCATGAACACAGTCTACACAAACCCATTTGTCCTCACGGTTAAGGAAAACCTCCAGCCACTGGTCTGTGCCTGTCGCTTTCCTCACCTCCTGTTGTCCATCATCCTCATCACTAGAAATGATTTTGTTTCTCTTTTTCTGTCCTGCAGGCAAGGCTGGAGCTGTACTTTTTGCTGGCTTAGGCTCAGATCCACACGAATTTTTTGACAGCCTTGATTCTGAAGTCTCAGTTTTAGGGCTTTTTAGAGTAGTCATCTTTGCCTTCTGGGAGGCCAGTGAGCTCCTCCGCCTTTTAGAGACAGTTTCAAAATCCTCATCAGAGAGATCACTCTCCTCCTCTGAAACCTCAAAGTCTGAAACACTGCCCTCATCACTTTCACTCTCTTCCTTGTAACACACTTTGGAGGCCACTCGTCTCCGCCGATCATTCTTGGGCCTGACTGGCACATCTTTTTCTGCTAAACTGCTCTCATTACTTGATTCCTTCTGTTCCTGGTTGCCTTTAGCCAGCTTTGACTTGTGAGCGCCTTTGGTCTGAGCAGTTTTGGCTTTCTTTGGCTCCTTGATGTCTTCTTCGCTCTCTGAGGATTTCTCATCCTGCTTGGCTTTTTTGCAGGGGCATTTTTTTGCCCCAGCTTTGGGTGTTGTGGCAGAACTCTCCTGTCCCTCAGAGGTGTTGCTGAGAGACTGCCTCTTGGATGAGCTCCTTCCCTGCAAAGAAACAGGCTAGGTCACTTTTATCACCATGGCTAAGAATGTTAAAAAAAAGACTGAAATCAGCCCAAGGTTCATGCAGACCAAAGGTTGGCAGGCACAGTCAAATGGCATGTCTTAGGGGCTTGAAAACTTCAGGCAAATGGCTGAAGAGAGGTGTAATCATGCAGCAAGTGTTTGCTAAGTTTTAAAGAAATTTAAAAGCACTGAAGCATGTCTTTGCTGAAACACAAAAATGTGTGGCTTCTTTAAAGGAGAAAACTAAAAATTCAGGGTTTGCATTTTTTTGCACTATAGCTAGAACACTGGTTCATGCAGTAAGTGATGCATTTCAAGTTGCAACAGCCAGAGTTTCTTTAATCCTACTAAATCAGTGATCTATTCTTTATTCCACACAAACAGCAGAAACTACCTTTGGTCTTGTATCCTTGAGAGGAATAGGCTGAAAAGACAGCACGAGGCGACACAGCAGCTGTAATGCTCGCAGAATAATTAAAAATATCTGCAAAGCAATTTAAATTTAATTTAATCACAGCACTCCAGATAAAAATACAACAAAATAAAAAGCCACAGAATCACCTACATGACCAATCTATTTTCTCCAAATCCAACCCTCACAACCACTTTGTGTATGACCTGACATACAGCACTGATCCAGCATCCAAACTCAGCAACCAACCCTGCACTTCCCAGTCTCTTACATGAACCAACTCCTCATCATCCTGTGCAGCATAGATGGCAAAGCGCCTCTCCAAGGTCGACTGAAGGGGCTCTCCTTTTTCAGTGGAAAGCTCATCATTAACAGTGAAGGTTCCAATAAACCTGAAATATGAGACACCTACTTATTGTCTAGTGTTTGTGACTGTATTCCTAAACTTCAGAGTTGACCCTTTTCTGGAAAAAGGACAGACTCTCTCCCGTGTATTTAAAATCAAAAAAAAAAAATCACTGAAAACTGGTAACTAGTTACCCCTCTCCCTGAACTCTTGCTCTACATTCTATGACAGCATGATTTCTAGAAAAGTTTTACCATTTCACCAAGTTGGAAAGGTAGATCAGGTCCACTTTGCCTGCGGGCACTGTGGTGAAGCGGGTGGGGATGACGGACAGACCGATGGCGAGGAGATCTGGCTGACTGCAGATCCTGTTCCGATAGAAACCATTCGCTAACAAACACAGGAGGTGAACCTGAGAGAGAAAAGTTTTTACAGTGAGTTCTCAAAAGACCTTCTTTAGTGGAACTTTTGTCCATGGTAAAGATAAGGAACACTTCACTGCTTCTTCTAACAGAGACAGGCAAAAATGAAACCTCCCAAGCATTCACAGGGTGGAAACAGCGCTGTCTTCAGAAGACAGGAAAGCCTTGAAGTCCCTGTCAGTGTCTCCTGCTCTACATGACTGGCAGTTTAACCCTCATAGAATGAAAAGATCTCCCTCAACGGAGAGATATACATCCTACTTGCATATGGTTTAAGCTAGAGTTTTACTAATGCAGACACTGATGTTTCCAGCTCACAATTTAGGAGGAGTCTAACAATCATTTGTCAGGACTACAGCCTTTTTATTTTTTCATTTCTAGCCACGGCCCCACATTATTCGGTCAAAACTAAGCATCTTCTTTATTACAAATCACTTCAGCAATCTTTATGCTCATCTTTTTCTCTGCCAGGGTTCTCTGTGACAAATACCTTATGTGTGTCCTCACGAACCTCCTTGCTGAAACGTTTCATCATCCTCCGAAGATACGCTTCAAACTCGGCTTTCCTTTTTTCTCTGCAGAAGATTACAAAAGAGATGCATGCTGTGGGATTTCTGTGGACCTGCCTTTCCAGACACCTGAACTGGCTCAGTTCACAAAGAGAATCCATCCCAGAGAATCTTCCGGGCACACTTACAGAAAAGTTTAGTTACTGGCTATGTGAATAGGCAAGAAGGATGCATATGACTGTGAACTCCATGCTCCTGACTACTGAGAGCTTGGTATATTCAGATGGTCTAAATTCTACCTAACTTCATGTGCCTTCAGTTTCTTATCAAAGGTTTTGGACAGCTCCATACTAAATTTAACTGAATTGTCTGACTTTTAGACTACTGCTGGCATTCCATTCAGATTCCAGGAAAAATGGTTTTCTCATCATCAGGCCTCCAGCCACCACCCAAAGTCAGCCTTCCTTGGGTTAATGCTCCCAGATGCCAAGGGCATTCATTTGACCCACCTATTCACACCTCAGGTATTGGCACACAGAAGCTTCCATCTGAGCTGTTAAGACATTTGCAGAAACAAAATGCCAGTCACCCACAGCTCTCCTTGCAGATCTACTGCTGTCCCTTGATTTAGAATAAAGCACAGTGAGGTTACATGCTTGATTTTCAAGGAAGCTGAGAAGTTTCTATTCCTGCCAACTTCTATTGCAGATTTTTGGTAAAATTGTCAAAGTGTAGACTGCTCTCTGTCCCTTGACCCTGCATCATTCCAACTGAACCGTCTGCACAAAGTGGGGACTTTCACCCAGAACACGGCAAGTCAGTGACAGCTAAGACTTAGCATACTTTTAACTTCATCCTTTACCAGCCCTCCACTGCCTCCTTGTTCTTACCTCCTCTCTCTTTTCTTCATCTGCTCTGGGGTTTCAATCTCTATCTCCACAGGTTTGCTTGGCAGCCCCACTGCTGGAAGAACAGCAGCTTCTTCAAACTTATCTGTGGCAGGTTCCTGGAGCTCTGAAAAAATAAAATATTAATAAATTATAAGTAAGCATGGAACAGACCCCCAGAGAGGACTGATAATGGGATAAGAACCTACATTTTCCTTCTCAAGTACTCAGTCTATAAACTGAACATTCCTAGTAATTACCAGCTCCCAGACTTTCCGTAACAGTGTGTGTGCTCAGTTATTTCAAATAACTGTTGGATGCCAGTCACCTGCTGTAGAAGAATCAGCTCACAACAGTTTAATGCCTAGTGACTGTCACAGGCAAACTCAGTCAGGAGAAAGGTGAATGGAGCAGATGTGACTTCAAGGGTACTTGTAAAATACCAAAGAAAAAACCTGACAGCTCTTCACTTTAGAAGGCATAAATGTGTAGCAGCAAAATAAGAAGATTATGATCATCATGATTCTTAACATAGTTTGTTGATGGCCATGTAATCAAACAGCTCAGTTGGTTTCATCTTCACTCTTCTTTACTGGGAATTCACAGTTTTGAATCTTCAAACTGACTCATCCTTAGCTGCTCAGCATCAGCCAACACAAGCAGCTGAGAAAGTGCTTTGTGCATGGCAGCATGATTTTAATGTAAGCCAAAAGGTCAGCAACTGTGTGGCTCTTTTTCTTCTTTGGAACCTTTCTAAAAGCATTGTGAGATATGAGCTTTTAGATACAGATATACAGATGGAACACACTTTAAGTATACAGAGTATAAGCATTTATCTGAGTCCAAATGAGAAATGGTTCAAAAATCAAATTATTAAAAAAATATTTTTTTAAAAATTAATAAACATGCAATTGCTACCTTCCACATCCTCCCATTCATCTTCACTTTCATCATCATCATCATCATTGTCAGTATTGTCTTCACTCATCTCTTTTTTAACAGGTGATTCTTTCTTCAACTTCATCTCCTTCTGAGGGGGCTTTGATGAGTCACTGTTAAAATTATCAAAACAGCTTCAGCACCATGAAATGTAGGTGCTTGTTTATTTAAGCAGAACAGAGAAAGAAGACACTAAAAATAGGGAAATAAATGGAGCATGACCTCTGCATCAACAACAACAGACTGAGTATCTGACAATTAAATCACAGAAATCTTCTCTGTAGAGCAAACTATCTCTGCCATAAATAACCACAGGCTCAATGGAATAACATGTTTCCAGTGCAAACTTAGGTTCTGATTCTGCATGGATGTTTAGGACGGAAAAAACCTAAACCTGAGCCACGCCTGAACCTACAGAAGGTTCCATCCTTTAGAACAGCTTGTACAAACCAGTCCTTGGAGAAATGGTTCACTGAATCATTTATTCTTACTGTGTACTGAAATTGGAGCTGTTTCTGTTTCCCTACAATAACGTCCAAGGCTCTGGGTGTCCACTGAAACGAGACCAATCAGTTTAATTTCTTTTTATTAATATATTTGCTATAGCAATCTACACATGCAGACTGTGCTGATATTATATTCATATTAAAAAAAAAAACCACCAGAGAATTATATGTTTAAAGATTTCTGCCTATCATCCAAATCTCAGGACAGCATTTATTCATGCTGGATTCCATAAAACATCCCTGGTCCCATGTGAAAACTAAAACAAATGAAATAAAATTTTATATTTAAATGACCGAATTCGGAAAGGCTCACAAATTTCCTTCCCATGCAGCCCATCTTCCTCAGGACTGACTCTACACTGCTCACATACACAGAACCAGGCCCTAAAGAAATCAGATGAAGAGAAAGCTCCCACAGACTAGAATGATAAGTAAACTTACCTGCACATTTCCTCTTTGTTACAGTTCTCTTTATTTCTACCGTTCCTTTTATTTTCTTTTGTTTGTGATTTTGCCCCTGTTTGTTTTGAAGTTTTTGCTGAGTTGGAAACTCCATTATCACAACCTTCTTCCTTTTTCCTAGCTGGAGCTTTTGAGTTCTTTTTTGTACTGGGTTTTTCCTCTTCAAAATCATCTGCACAGGAGAGAAGAAGGGAAAATACGTTAAAGGATGAAGTTTCATCTCCATGGCAACCAGAAAAAATATCTCCGTGGACCTCATTAGAGGCAGCTACAGAACTGAGCACTCGCAATGCTGAGTTTGTGAACAAATAGGTAAGATCTGAACAACGAGACTTAAAGAAAATATTTATAATAACGCAATGCACAAGAGGCACTTAAAGATTCTTAGTCTTACCGATGGGGTAGGCTGAAAACCAAGCATCGTGCTCGCCACTCACAAGAACTTATTACTTTGTGAAGCCGTGAGGCGAGACAAACCCCCCGGCTCGCTCAGCCTTTGTGAGCGCTCCTGGGGCAGCGTGCGGGGCCCGCGGCACACGCGGGTTAAACCCCCGATTTCTGTGCGCCCCTGGCACTGGTAACACCGCCGATCCACCGCGATCCCCACCCACGGCTCCAGCCTGCGGTGACTGCCCTTCCCTCACGAGCTCCCCCGCTGCCCACCCCGGCCTGGAGCGGCCCCAACCCGCGGCGATGGCCCAGCGCCCGGCCCGCCCCGACACGGCCTCTGTGCCGCACTCACCCTCCTCCTCTTCCTCCTCCGCAGCCCCCCGGAGCGTCTCTTTCTGGCAGCCGCGGGCCGGGGCGATGCTTTGCGCTTCCTGGCCATGGCGCTCCCCGCAGGTCCCGCCGCGGCCCCGGCCCGGCCCCGCGCCGGGGAAGGGGAAAGGGAAGGGAAGGGGCCGGGCCATAAAGTCTCGCGGGCGGGCGCGGAGGCGGTTTGAAAGATGGCGGACGAGGTGGATCAGGTGAGCGGCTCCAGCGGCGCGCAGGGAAGGAGCTCCCGGTGCCTCCCGCCTCTCTCCGCGGCCCGGGGCGGGAGGGAGAGGCAGCGGCAGCTCTCGGCTGCCCGGCTGGGCTGGGCTGGGCGCGCCCGAGCCCGGGCACCCTCCGTGAGGCGCAGCCCCTCGGGGAGCGTTTTCCGTGTGGAATGAAATTCCTGCTCGGGCTCGGAGCTTGTGCCGCCGCTGAGGCGCGGACAAGGCTCCCTTCAGGCCCGTTTGCCTGGGCAGGAAAATGCAGGAAAGCTGCCGAGGACAGTGCCTCCTCGCTGAGGAGGAAGGAAGGAGGGAGCAAGCTGCGGGATGCGCACGGAGGGGTTCACGGTTTTTTGCTTGTGATCCCCAAAGCGCGCCGTTACCACAAAAAGGGGCCTCAGCCCGCGGTGTTCAGGTTTCAGAGCAGCCTCGGGGCCTGGCCTGGCTGCCCTGCGGCCGAGCAGGGCCTCGGGAGAGGAGGGGGGTGTGTGGGGCAGTGTATGACCGGGTGACTGAGGTCACCTGAGCGTGTGACCAGGTCCCTGACTGTGCTGGCAGAGGTGTCAGCCTGGGTTTGGCTCTCCTGGCCTGCACTGTGCCATGGCACAGCCGTGGTGCTGGTTCACGTGTAGGCTCTCTGCTGCAGTGGGGATGATGGTTGCTGGTAAGAAAAACTGTTCCATAGAATCACAGAATGGTTTGGGTTAGAAGGGGCCTAAAGGTCATCTAGGTCCAATCCCTCTGTGTGTGAGGTGTGATTTGCTGCAGAATAAACAAGCCTTTTAGCTACTGTTGCTTAGGCTGGTGAATATCCATAGAGTGGTAAATAGCTGCACTCAGGTTCATCAGGATGTGAAGAGATGATTTGAAATACTTGCATCTATGTTCTTACTTCTCTGTTTTCTGTGTCTCACAAACGCTTAGGAACGGAGAAGTTCACAGGCTTCTTCTCTACACGTAACTCTTATGTTTTGTTTTTTAGCAACAAACAACAAATACTGTAGAGGAGCCACTTGATCTCATCAGACTCAGTCTAGATGAGCGAATTTATGTCAAAATGCGGAATGACAGAGAGCTCAGAGGCAGGCTTCATGTAAGTAAAACGTTCGGAACGCTGTCATACTCATTCAGCTAAGGACTGGGCAACTGTTTTTTATGTACAACAGGCTGTTATGCAAGTTTACCTGTAATGTTCCATTAATTGTTCAAAAAACTAGTTTGGAACCACAGGTATTTGTATCTCACGGTTGAAAGTATGGAAAGGGTTAGAGAAGGTAGATGGAAAAATCATCTTAGTAACAAGGTCTGAACACTTTCTCTTACAGAAGTGTAATGCGATCAGTGAAAAAATCTAATTTGTTCAGTACTTTGTCTGCTATTAACTGCTTCCCTTGAAAGTTAGGAGATGTATTTTGATTTTCTTGTCTCCTGAATGTTACCAAGCAATTCATTTCACTGCTCTTGGCTTACGTTTCTGTGTCTGTGAAATGAGCAATAATGCTGCAAGCGTCTTCTTGTGATGTACCCTGAGGTCTCTTCAAGACAGAACTAACGAGGTTATCACTATCACATGAGTATCTCTTGAGGCACACCTGATGAGGGTATGATGGGATATATACTCAGCTGGGTTCTCAGTAAATCTCATTTGTGTAAGTGCTTTCTTCTGAGATACGACTCTTGACGAAAAGGATTTTTGCTTTCTTTTAAGTCAGTCATCCTTCCTGAGTGTTGTGCTTTGCTGGGGAAGAGAACCAGTTGCCCATGTGTTAATTTGGCCTCGACTCCTTTGGAAACACAGAGATGATGAGAGATCCATGAGGCACATGTGTTATTTCCGACATGCTTTTGTAAGGTTTCTGGAACATATGTTTATTTTAAGGTTTTGTAGTACTGTATGTGAAACAGCTTTCATAACCTTTAAGTTGTCCCCAGGCAATCAATTCCAGGAGGTTGGACTGGCAGCAGAGAATGTGTAGCTGGTTTAATGTTAATGAAGTGTGTCTGTCTCTGAGTTCTTGTATGTGTTCTCATACAATGCTTTAGAGCTATTTCCTGTAAATGTTTTCCTTTTTTTTCTGCTACAAAGTACCCATTTGTTTATGTTTGTTTGGAATTATAACTACAACTGATACTACTTTGTTTTGACATAGTGACGTATTTTGGTCAAAATCAGACTAAACTAATTTTGTCTGAAAGACTTGCTAAAACTCTCATTTTAGTAAGCTCATTTTTTAATTTTGGAAGAAATAATAAAATAACTTCATTCCTACAGGCATATGATCAGCACTTAAATATGATTTTGGGTGATGTGGAAGAAACTGTGACTACAATAGAGATTGATGAGGAAACCTATGAAGAGATTTATAAAGTAAGGACGTAGTGTATTTATCCCCATAGATTCTTTCATTTTAAGCTACACTGTTATATTGCTAAAGTAGTTTATTGCTGACTGTTTTAAGCTGACTGTCCCAACCTCTAACAGAAGTTTGGGACAAATTGTAATGAAAGTACACAGGACATCCAAAAACTTGGTGTTACTTGTATTGATCCCTTCAGTGTGTCAGAACATTGTGTGTTTGTTGGAGTTGTTTCAGGTGTGTTTTTTATGATTGAATTTGGTCATATGCTTAGCAGAGATGTTTTGTGATCTATGCTTTTGTAAATGTAAACTTTTCTTCTTTCCTTTTTCCCAGTCTACCAAAAGGAATATTCCGATGCTCTTTGTCAGAGGGGACGGTGTTGTGCTTGTAGCTCCCCCGCTGAGGGTTGGTTGAAGCAACAAAGGATTTAACCTTCTTGGAAAGTTCCAGACTTTGGACAGTGGTTTGTGTTTCAATCATGTGTCTCAAAATTCTGTATATGTTTTTTATAAAATGTTTTTGGCTGTTCTTTTGGGAAGGGAGGGAAAGGGAACCAGTTTGTCTGGCAGAAAGTACATGTAGTCAGTTGAAGCAGTGTAAACCCAACCTGATTTTCTCAGAATTAATGTAACTGCTGTAAATTGGCTGTCTTGTCACATCAGTAAAGGAATCCTTCATTTTTTTCAATCTTGGTAATAGCACTGTCTCTTATGTTTGTTTGTTTTAAATAAATTTTGGGTTATCTTTCAGATTTGACTTGTCATGTTTTTGTGTTGAGGACATATATTCTTCTATAGAGCTAGTTCTTTATTAAAGTTGCAGTATGCAGCCTCACTTTCTGAGAAAGTGGTAACTTTAATGTGTTGTTTTAACTTCTGTCCTTACTAATGCACGAGTCTTGCAGATTGTTTTGGGGGATAACACTGCATAAATCAGTGGTGCAGTAATTTATGGCTTTTCTGCGTTTAAATTCTTGATGCGTATCCTTGTAGCAGGGAAATGGGATTTATATAAATCTTCCACTTAAGATATGTAAAAAACATGGGCTTCTTTGCAATCTTTTGAGATGTTTTTATTGTGGCTTTGTTAACAGAGCTATGATTTGCAAGACCATAAATAGAGGCTGAATTTGTTGCTCCCAGGCTGTTGAGCTGCCTGCTGCATGCATTCATTTCCCACTGTCTGTAGCCTGTTTCAGTTCTTGAGTACATTGAATTCTGCTGGATGCCTAAGGTGCTCGTTAGTTGTCTTCAGTGGAGATACACTAGAATCCTGAGCAAAGCTTTTTTAATACCTATTTTTTCAGGCCCACTCTGTTTGCAATTCTCCTTCCTGTGCGAAAAAAGGCACGCTATAGTGTTGTAGAGGCACATGAGAGATGTAGGTCTGCACTGGAATATTTCCTACAAAGCTTGACTTGTGCCTTAAACTTAATTTATCAAGGTGCTCTGTAGGCTTAACAAAAGCAGCTTGCTCTGGCACTTTCTCTTACGGTTAAAAATCTTCATTATAGTCCATAGCTTGTGACAGTGGTAAGGAATACCAAGTCTACATTGGTGACTTCCAAGCCAGATTCTTCTTAAAGTTTTTTGGTAGTAAAATGTATACACTCAGAAGATGAATGTATACTTCATGCTCTTTGAAACAAGGAAAGCAGGAACTGATACAAAATCTGCTCTGGCTTCTAGGTGACATCTATACTCTTGTTCTCACGCAATGTGCTCTAGTATGAGGACAGTAGGAGTACCAGCTGAAGCTGAGTATTAATGTGTTAGTAGCAATTATAGTCTGTTTCTTACTGTTCTTTCTATTATTTGATCATCTGTTGGCTGTACTAACCCTTTGCCAAGATTTCTGCTCCTGATGAGCTTGAAAAAGAATTTATTGGTAATTTCCCTCATATTTCCATAAGATTTCTCAAATGCCTTTTCATGTTGTTTTATGGTTTTAGTCTGCTAGATTTTTTAATATTACTCGACTTCTTGAAACTTGGCTTTTTGTAAACAAAAGTAGCCTTCTGGTACATTTTGGCCTTTGGACTGCATCTTTTTTACAGACAGCAGAATAATTTCTCAATTTATTGTCTTTAAGGAATTTTTGTTCTGCCTGAAAACAGCTCATTCTCAGCAACTTTTTTTTTAACAAGATTTTTGTTATGTAATTCCCTGTATCAGAAGTGCTGACATAGTTAGACTCTGGTGTCTTACTGCTTTATGAGTGTTTGCTACCTTTCAAATTCTGTGTGGACTTGTGGATTTAATTTTTAAATCTGTCTCTTGTAGGACACTAGATGGTGCTGCTTTTCCTCAAATTCAAGCTTGGTTGGCTTTGACTGATATATGTAGCCCGTGTCAACAGGCCCTTTGGTTGTACAATTAGTCATTTGTTTTTAATTAGGATGGCACTTGCTGACAGTTTTAAATTAACTCTGCTGCTCACCCATAAGTAAAAATCAAAATATGATTTGATGTTTATGTAGGCACAGACTGAAC